GGAAGTTTTGACCACAGTGATTAGGCAAGAAAAGGTAATAAAAGGCATCCAAATAGGAAAGGAGGAAACAAAACTGTCACTGTATGCAGATGACATGATAGTATACATGGAAAATCCTATAGACTCTACCCAAAAACTGCTAGAACTAATTAATGAATTTGGCAAAACACCAAGATACAAAGTCAATATCCGGAAATCAAAGGCATTTTTGTATACCAACAGTGAATCAGCAGAAGCAGAAATCAAGGAAAAAATCCCATTCGATATAGCAAAAAGAAAAATAAAATATCTGGGAATAAACCTAACCAAGGAGGTAAAAGACCTGTATGCAGAAAACTACACAACACTGAAGAAATAAATCAGGGAAGACACAAACAAATGGAAACATATACCTTGTTCATGGATTGGAAGAATTAACATCATCAAAATGTCCATACTACCCAAAGCAATATACACATTCAATGCAATACCTATTAAAGTACCAATGGCATATTTCACAGACCTATAACAAACACTTCAAAAATTTATATGGAACCATAAACGAGCCAGAATAGCAGCTGCACTTTTGAGAAAGAAGAACAAAGTAGGAGGGATCACAATACCTGATATTAAACTGTATTTTACAAGGCCGCTGTAATCAAAACAGCCTTGTACTGGCATAAAAACAGGCACATAGACCAATGGAACAGAACAGAGAGCCCAGAAATCAACCCAACTCTCTACAGTCAATTAATATTCGACAAAGGGGGCAGTAACAGAAAATGGAGTAAAGATAGCCTCTTCAACAAATGGTGTTGGGAGAACTGGACAGCTACGTGCAAAAAAATGAAACTTGAGCACAGACTTACACCATACACCAAAATAAATTCAAGGTGGATAAAAGACTTAAATGTAAGTCGTGACACCATTAAAGTTCTAGAGGAGAACATTGGCAACAAAATCTCAGATATTTCATGCAGCAACTTCTTTACTGATATATCCCCTAGAGCAAGGAATATAAAGGAAAGAATAAACAAATGGGATCTCATCAAAATAAAAAGCTTCTGTGTGGGTAAAGAAAACAGTATTAAATTAGCAAGACAACCAACTGTATGGGAAAACATATTTGCCAATGATACCTCAGACAAAGGTTTAATCTCCAAAATATACAAAGAACTTACACGACTCCACTCTAAGAAGACACCCAACCCAATTAAAAAATGGGAAAAGGACTTGAACAAACACTTTTCCAAGGAGGACATACAGAACATTCAGAGACACATGAAGAGATGCTCAATATCGTTAGCTATCAGAGAGATGCAAATTAAAACCACAATGAGATACCACTTTACACCAGTCAGGATGGCTATCATAAACAAGGCAACAAACAACAAATGTTGAAGAGGTTGTGGGGAAAAGGGGTCCTTAGTTCACTGTTGGTGGGATTGCAGACTGGTACAACCATTATGGAAAACAGTATGGAATTTTCTCAGAAAAATAAAAATCGACCTGCCTTTTGACCCAGCAATTCCACTGCTAGGATTATATCCTAAGAATTCTAAAACATCAATATCAAAGAATCTATGCACCACAATGTTCATAGCAGCACAATTTACAATAGCCAAGAGTCGGAAGCAACCTAGGTGCCCATCTGTAAATGAATGCATCAAAAAAAATGGTGGTACATATACACAATGGAATTCTATGCTGCAGAGAGAAAGAAGGAGCTACTACCTTTTGCAACGACATGGATGGAACTGGAAAGCATCATGCTGAGTGAAATAGGCCAGGTGTTGAAAGACAAATGCCATATGATCTCACCTTTAACAGGAAGCTAAGCAACAAAACAAACAAGCAAGCAGAAAAAAAAACAAAGACACTGAAACAGAGATCAAGGGGACAGTGATCAGAGGGAAGAGGGAAGGGAATTTAAGGGGGGGAAAGGGGGAGGGATTTGGAGGAACAAATATGAAGGACATAGGGAGGAGAACTAAGGGGAGGGGATGGGAGGGAGGTGGGAGCCCAGGGAAGGGGGGGCTGGGATGGGAGAAATAGACAAAAAAAAATGTACTTGAAAAATAACTAAATAGACTTCAGCCAAGATGGAGAAGTAGGTGGAGGGTCCACCTCGCCTCTGTGCACAACCAAATCTAAGAACAACTATTTTCAACAGCAGTCACAACCAAGCCACACGGAAAATCGACAATACGGAGTCCAAAGGACAACTAGATACTCGGCTGGACCGGTACCAGGAGCGAGGCCAGAAGCAGAGCAGGTTAGCAAGAAAAAATTCCCGGGGCGGTGCGCGGGGCGCGCAGGCAACCGAGGGCTGATCGCCAGCGAGCTGGCTGCCGGAGCGCACAGGGAATAGGCGCGGTGGGTCGCTCAGTCGCGCGCATTTACGTGCGGAGAAACCAGTGAGAAGGGAAACCCGCGCGGTGCAGCAGGCTCGCAAAACCAGGATCGGATAAGCAAGCCCGAGGCGTTTGAGTGTCTGGATGCGCTGGGCTAGCAGAGAGGACCGCCATTGCTCCCTCTCTGACCACGCCCCCACACACAACGTCACAAACCAGCGACCTGGGTCGCCCCATCCTGGTAAACAACTAAGGCTTCGCTCTGCTCACTAAACAGCACGAATAAACCAAAAATGGCTCTAGAACAACTCAGAGCCCCAGAACCGATAGACCTAAGTGATGAAGAAATAGCCAGTCTTTCAGATGCACAGTTCAAAACACTGGTTATAAAGATCCTTACAGAACTGGTGGATTTTAGTCACAAATTAGAGAAACATATGGAAGCTAAATTAATTGAAATGAATGCTGATACAAAAGATACCAATAGTGATGGAAAGAAAATTGGGACTCAAATCAAGGGAGAGCACCAGACAGAAGAAAAAGATGATCAAGCAGAAAGGAATGAAGAAATAAGAATTCAGAAAAATGAGGAGAGGCTTGGGAAACTCCAGGACATCTTTAAACGTTCCAACATCCGAATTATAGGGGTACCAGAAGGGGGAAAGGCACAACCACCAGTTGAAAAATTATTTGAACAAATAATAAAGGAGAATTTCCCCAAGATGGCAAAGGAAATAGACTTCTGAGAGATCCAGGAAGCTCTGAGAGTCCCGAGGAAGTTGGACCCGGGAAGGAACACACCAAGGCACATCATAATTACATTAGCCAAGATTAAAATGAAGGAGAGAATCCTAGAAGCAGCAAGAGCTAAGGGGACAGTCACCTACAAAGGAGTTCCCATCAGACTGTCAGCTGATTTCTCAAAAGAGACCTTACAGGCAAGAAGGGGCTGGACAGAGGTTTTCCAAGTCATGAAAACCAAAGATCTACAACCAAGATTGCTCTACCCAGCAAAACTTTCATTTAGAATGGAAAGACAGATAAAGTGCTTCTCAGATAAGGTCAAATTCAAGGAGTTCATCATCACCAAGCCCTTACTATATGAAATGTTAATGGGACTTACCTAAGAAAAAGAAGATAAAAAAGATGAACAGTGAAAGGACAGCAAACTCACAGTTATTAAGAACCACACCTAAAACAAAAGCAAACTAAGAGGATAGCTAGATCAGGAGCAGAACCATAGAAATGAAGATCACAGGGAGGGTTAGCAACAGGGGAGTGGGAGGAGGGGAAGGGGGGGAGAAGGTACAGAAAATAAGTGGTATAGACAGTAGATAGAAAATAGATAGGGGGGAGGGGTAAGAATAGGAGGGGAAATACAGAATCTAAAGAATTTGAGACACATGTTCATGAACTAAAGGGGGAAATGGTGGGGGAGGGGTATGCAGGGTGGAGGGGAAGGGAGGGGGGAATAGAGCAAATGTAATGGCACAATCAATAAAAAAAAAAGAAAAATAACTAAATAAAATTAATTTAAAAAATTAAAAATTTTAAAAAATGTTCACAACTCTCTTAATAGCAGACAAAAACTGGAATCTACCAAAATAATCAGAGAGAATAGGTCAACCCCTTGTGTATACATAAAAAACTACTCATCAATAAAAAATAATGATCTACTGAAAAAAAATAAAATTAAAAAATTTTATTTTGGATATTTCCCCTTCACATATTTGCTAATGCTGTCTCACCCTGTAAGTGATTCATGCTGTATATTGATTTAGAGATACTTTGTTGTGCTGAATTTTTGCCATTTGGCAAAGTAGAAATTTGTTTCTAAATAACTTTACATTCACCCTGCATCTCTTCCTATGAACTATAAAATTAAAGTACAAGTGGAGTTTCACATTAATATTTTTTAATTAATTTATTTATTTATGATTTTTTAAATTGTCTTTCAAGTACAGTTTTCTGCCTTTTCTGCCAACCCTCCCCACCACCCCAGCACTCCCCGCCTCCTGCCCTCATTTCCACCCCCACATGTGTCCTTTATACTTGTTCCTGTAAACCCTTCACCCTTTTCCCCCTTTATCCCCTCCCTTCTCCCTTCTGATCACTGTCAGCCTGTTCTCAATTTCAATGTTTTTGGCTATTCACTGGCTTGTTCGTTTTGTTGTTTAGGTTCTTATTAAAGGTGAGATCATATGGTATTTGTCTTTTACTGCCTGGTTTATTTCACTTAGCATAAAGCTTTCCAGTACCATCCATGCTGTTGCAAAGGGTAGGAGCTCCTACTTTCTCTCTGCTGCATAGAATTCCATTGTGTAAATGTACCATAGTTTTTTGATGCATTAATTTACTGATGGGCATCTAGGTTGCTTCTAGCACTTGGCTATTGTAAATTGTGCTGTTATGAACATTGGAGTGCATAGGTTCTTTTGGATTGGTGCTTCAGGGTTCTTAGGATATAATCTTAGCAGTGGAATGCCAGGTCAAAAGGCATTTTCAGTTTTAGTTTTCTAAGGAAATTCCATATTGTTTTCCATAGTGGCTGTACCATTCTACAATTCCACCAACAGTGCACTAGGGTTCCCTTTTCTCCACACTCTCCAACATTTGTTATTTGTTCCTTTGTTCATAATGGCCATTCTGACTGGTGTGAAGTGGTATAAAAATATGGAATACTTGACGAATATGTGTGTCATTCTTGTGCAGTGGCCATGGTAATCTTTCATGTATCATTCCAATTTTAGTATATGTGCTGCCAAAGTGAGCACTAAGAATAATTGTTTAGTACAAGAAATGTTGAAATATGAAGCTACTTGATAAAAGTTTTGACTCTATCAGATTGTATAAGAACTTCAAGCTATTGCCCTGGCTGGTATGGCTCAGTGGACTGAGTGCCGGCCTGCACAGTAGATGGTCACGAGTTCGATTCCTACTTCAGGGCAGAGTACATGCCTAGGTTGCCACTTGGGAGTGCATGAGTACAACTACGCATGGATGTTTCTCTCCCTCTGTTTTTCCCTTCCCCTTTCTCTATAAATAAATAAACAAACAAACAAATAAATAAATAAATATTTTACAAAAGAACTTCAAAGTATTAACATCTACTTGAGTTACTACTCAAGCTGATTAACAAGTAATAATACTAGATTATTTAAATTTTAGGACAAACTAGCCCTGGCTGGTGTAGTTCAGTGGCTTGAGCACGGGCCTGCGAACCAGACAATCGCGGTTTGATTCCCAGTCAGGGCACATACTGGGGTTGCAGGCAGGTTCCCTGCAGGCCAGTTCCCAGCAGGGGACACACGAAAGGCAACCATACATTGATGTTTCTCTCCCTCTCTCCTTCCCTTCCCCTCTAAAGATAAATAAATAAAATCTTTTAAAAAAATTTAGGACAAACGCAAATTCAACAAAACAGCAAAATGTAACATAAAAAAACCATTTCATGTTCACTAGTATCTCTGGTAATTGTACTGAATATTCCAGAAAGACTTTGAATTCAAAATACTAAATCAGAGATGACACACTTAAATTTACAGAAAAGTTTCATAGTGTTTAAATTTTTTTAAATTATGGGTGGAGCAAAACTTCTAAACTTTTCATTGATGACTTCTTTGATGTGGAGTAGCATAATGTATGGAAAATACTTTTTGTGATATATTATTGAGGGAAAAAGCCACATGCCTTTGGATCTGCCATGAAATAATATTTAAAATGTCATGGGATACTTCACTTATCTAAATGTAGGAACTTCATTGAGGGAAACTAGAATGCTCTCATTGTAATCACCACAAATCTGAGTTGTAATCCCTATTCTGTCACCTACTCTAGCAAATATCAGGACACTCAGTGAACCTGGTTTTCTCCATCATACCCAAGATAGGAGGTTGAGTGAGATCAAGATTGCAAGCTAAGCTATAGCCAGCCCTTAGACAAACATGTCTTTATGACCTGCAGATTTTTCACACATTTTTAATTAGTTGCACTTAACATTAAGAGACTTCACATAGAAATTCAGATTTCTGGCTTCTCTTGAGAAATTCCACATGTGAAGAATCATCTAGAGCTAGGTAACAAACAGCATGCCCCTTTTGTATGGAGCATTTTCTGTTTTGCCCTGTGTTTAATATAACAATAATGAATCACAGTCCCAAGTTGTGTTGCAGAACTCTGTAAGCAGGAAAGACTACCTGGGCAGTCACAAAGACCCTGAGAGAGCTAAAAAAAAAAAACAGCTGTGGAAGCTTGCACAAGAAATGACATGTTAAAATGGCTTTTGAGGGCATATAACACACCATATTCTCAGATCACCAGTATCTGAATAAAGTGCCCATAAAGATTCAATCCTTGTTTCTACTTACTGGTTCTGGTAGTGACAGGCAAAACGAAAGCTGAATTTTCCAATCCAGTTCTAGTCCTTTTTACATTTACTTTTTCTGCTGTCAAATAACAAACTCCAAGAAACTGTAATGATTTTTTAGTTCTAAAATCCAATACCAATATTATTTTGTAATGTATATATTGCAGGACCACTTTATATATCAGGGGCTTCAAACTCATTTTCACCAGGGGTCACATCAGCCTCACAGTTGCCTTCAAAGTACTGAATGTAATTTTAGGACTATATAAATGTAACTACTCCTTAACAGTTAAGCAAGAGCTCAGCTCTGCCACCAGGTAGAAACAAGGTGCCAGGCTGGATAAAACAAGGTGGAGGGCCAGATTTGGCCTGCGGGTGTTGTGTTTACCACCTGTGCTCTACATCCTCCCTAGTTCTTTATGTGAAACTTTCATTTGTTTTATCATCAATAAATTCACTATTTTATGTAGAAAATGCTCCTGGCTCTCTTTTTTATACTTAAAAATACTTTATAAATAAAGTATATTTATACTTAAATATACTTTAAGTATATTTCATTATGCTATTACAGTTGTCTCATTTTTTCCTCCCCTTTATCTGGCTCCACCCTGCATTCCCCCCAGCCCTCCAGCATTAGCCCCCTTAGTCCATATCTATGGATCATAATATAAGTTCTTTGGCTTCTCCATTTCCCATAATATTCTCTTTTTTTAAAAGATTTTATTTATTTATCTTTAGAGGGGAAGGGAAGGAGAGAGGGAGGGAAACATCAGTGTATGGTTGCCTTTCGTGCCTCCCCTGCTGGGAACTGACCTGCAGGGAACCGGTCTGCAACCCAGGCATGTGCCCTGACTGGGAATCGAACCGCGATTGTCTGGTTTTCCCATAATATTCTTAATGTCTCCCTGTCTATTTTGTACTTACCAATTATGCTTCTTATTCTCTGTATCTTTTCCCCTATTCTTCCCCTCCACTCTCCAAGCTGGTAACTCTCCAAAAGATCTTCATATCTATGAATGTTCCTCTTCTAGTTGTTTGCTTAGTTTTTGTTTTTGTTTTTTAGGTTCAGTTGTTGATAATGGTGAGTTTGTTGTCATTTTACTGCATATAGTTTTTATCTTCTTTTTCCTTGATTAGTCCCTTTAACATTTCTTATAATAAGGGATTGGTGATGATGAACTCCTTTAAGTTTACCTTATCTGGGAAGCACTTTCTCTGCCCTTCCATTCTAAATGATAGCTTTGCTGGATAGAGTCATCCTGAATGTAGATCCTTGCCTTTCGTGATTTAGAAGACTTCTTTCCACCTCCTTCTTGCCTACAAAGTTTCTTTTGAGAAATCACCTGAAGTCTTATGGGCACAATGGAATACTATGCAGCAGGAAGAAAGAACCCTTTGTGACAGCATGGATGGAACTGGAGAACATTATGCTAAGTGAAATAAGCCACGCAGTGAAAGGCAAGTATCATACAATCTTGCCTATAAGTGGAAACTAATCAACAAACAATCAAACAGGCAAAATATAACCAGAGACATGAAAATGAAGTATAAACTGACACTGATGAGAGAGGAGGGAGTGGTATAAAGGGGGAAAATGGGGAAGGGGTAAGTCAAGAAAAATGTGTAAAGGATCCATGGGCGTGGACAATGGGGGGGATTGACTGTGACAGCAGGGTGGGGATGGGTGGGGCAGAAGAGAGCAACAGGGGGGAAATCCGACAAGTGTAATTGAACAACAGTAATAAAAATTAAACCCAAATTCTGGAGATGAAAAACTCAATAAAAGAGATGAAGACTGAACAAGCAAGCATTAAGAAATAGAACTTGGGGGCACTTCTGGCCAAGATGAAGGCATAGGTAGACACACTGTATGTCCTTGCACAACCAAAATAAGGACAACAAAAATTTAGAAACCAAATAATAGCCAGAAATGACAGAAAATTGATCTGTGTGAAAGTCCGACAATCAAGGAGTTAAAGTAGACACTTTCACCCAGACCAGTAGGAGAGGCAGAGTCTGGCGGTTAGGTGGAAAGGGGTCAAGGCAAAGACAGAAGCAGTGGCTGGTGGACCCCAGCGATCGTGCAATGCAGCAGCAGGCAGACCCAGCAAGGTGGTGGATTGTGGAGGGGCTTGGCGCGCAAGGTGGCTTGCAGAACCAGGCGGTCCCACATTCGCACACAGATAAACTAGGCAAAACTGGGGAGTAAGATAGACTGCACAACCCAGGGTTCCAGCACAGGGAAATAAAGCCTCAATACACATCGCCTGCAAACACCTGTGGGGGTTGAGGTGCCCGGAAAGACTCCCAGCCTCACAGGAGAGTTCCTTGGAGAGACCCACAGTGTCCTAGAATGTACACAAATCCACCCACATGGAAATCAGCACCAGAAGGGCCCAGTTTGCTTGGGGAAGTGGCAGAAGGGATCAAAATCCAAGAGAAAGCTCAGCAAGTGCCATTGTTCCTCCTCTGCCCCCTGCCCCACATACAGCATCACAACCCAGCAACTTGGGTTGCCCCGCCATGGTGAACACCTAAGGCTCAGCCCCTCACTACATAACATCCTTGTCAAGATAAAAGAAAGGACTTCTGGCCAAGATGGAGGCGTAGGTGGAAATACTGTATCTCCTTGCACAACCAAGTTTAAGGACAACAAAGATTTAGAAACAAAAACACAACCAAAATAGACAGAAAATTGAACTGTACAGAACTCCAACAACAACGAACCATTCATCCAAACAGGTAAGAGGGGCAGAGCTGGCAGCCAGCGGAGAGGGGTTGCAGCAGGAAAAAGCAGCCGGATGGACCCAGGCATGCGCACGTTGGTTGGCAGATCCCAGGCATGGGGTGGCAACAGGCAGACCCAGTGAGGGTGCAAAGCAGTTGGCTGACCACGGTCACACATTCACATGCATATAAACCAGGCAAAGGAATGAGCAGTGAGACAGACCACGCAACCCACGGCCCAAACTATGGAAATTATACCCTAAAAGCACCAATGGAGAAACTTTCAGGGGTTGAGGCAGCAGGAGAGCCTCGAGCCTCACGGGAAAATTCGTTGGAGAGACCCACAGGGTCCTAGAACGCACACAACCCCACACACCCGGGAACCATCACCAGAAGGGCCCAATTTGTTTGTAGGAAGCGGCACAAGGGACTAAAATCTGGCAGATAACAGAGCAAGCGCAATTGTTCCCTCTCTGACCCCATCCCCACAGATAGCATCAAAACCCAGTGACGTGGGTTGCCCTGCACTGGTGAACAACTAAGGCTCCACCCCTCATACGTAACAGGCACAACCTGACCAAAACATTATGGCTCATGCAGCAGACCACCTCAAAGTCCCAGAGTCAATACTTCTAAGTGACCAAGAGATAGCCAACCTATTGGATGCACAGTTCAAAACAC